GCAGCGGTGCAGGGGCCCCTTGGCCGGGGCGGCCGAGCCTCGGCAGAGGGTCCCTGCCGCGCCGAGCACCCTCCTCTCCGGCCTGTGCCCCCATCAAAGGCCTGCGCTCAAGAAGGAAAAAAAGCCTCCCGTTCAGAGCATTATTTAATCAGCCATCGTTATTATAACAATTGACATAAACACTAATACCTGAAAAGGGGGCTGAAGTGATATTTCACTCTGCATGTCACCGTCTGAAACAGGGAGATGAGAATTTATTGCAGATATTATCTTTCAAATACAGGGCAGCATCTTATGGAAAAGTTGGATCAATACTAAATAAGATCAATTCTGCAGCTGGCTGTGTTATGCAAATTGCCTTTTTTGTATTAGTATCAATATTATTAAAGTTAATACCAGAATGTAATTGTCTTATCTCAGTGGAGCCAGGAAAATGTGAACAGCTAAAATGGCATGTTAATTTAGTGATGTTATTTTTCAAATGTAAGCGATATATTATTGTGGATAAGATCAATATTAACATTAATGGATTCTGCAGTTTACTTCATTATGTAAACTCTGTGGTAGTTGAACTCATTTTCCTTCAGTTATTCACATCAGCCATAATGGGTAATGTCTCTATAACGATCTACATTATAAACCTTTGCAGATCAAAAACTATCATGGATAATTTGTCATTAAAGTCATTTATTCTAATAACAACATTAATTGTAAACCTACTAATTTAATGAAGATAGCGATGAACTCACAAAGATCTATCTGAAATACAGCATGTCTCAGGTGGGGAGCATTGCGACAGGTTGAAATATGAGCCTTTTACTTAATCCAAGGAAAGGCCTTGTCTTGTTTTAGGGACAGCGTCTTAATCCAGCTGACTACTTTACAGTTAACAACCAAGTATGCAGTGAAGTTAGTATATCAGTTAGTTATTAAATAAGTTATTATCTCAGAGCCCAACCCTCTAGTGCAGAAGCAGCTGGAGTTTTGCCATGGAGCAGCATTCGGTGCCTCTTGGCATGGCGCATGGGGCTTTGGGGACCAGCAGTGCCATCCTGCAAGTTGGGACCTTTGGTTACTCACTCAGACCATAGTCTGGGGTCAGACCTCATCCCAGGCCCAGACCATGGTCTGTTGCTCCTTATATGGGCTCAAAGTCTTTCAGAGATGTGGCTTGAGCTTCCTAAGAACCCCATTTTGCAAATACATAGTATAAGTTTTTCTTACTTCTACAAGTAAGTAAGTAGTTCCGTAGATTTAAAGGGACCCCTTATTTTCCTACAACTAAATACATTAATAAATCTGGGAAGGACAGAGGAAATTGATTGCCTTATTCTCCTGACCATAAAGCTATACCCAGCTAGAACAACAGAACCATCAACTGTAAGATGAAAACTACTCAGTGCCGAGACTGAACTTTTCTCAAGAGCTGATGCGTAACTGTAGTGCTCATTCTTGGGAAAGAGCAATCGTAGTTCTTGCCGCTTTCACATTAAATGCAAAATGTAGACTTCGGCTTACATAATAAACATACACTAAAGAAAGATTTTGACAGCTCTGGTCCTAGGAGCACAATTCATATAATGTCCATTCATTTCCTGATCTAAAGGCAGAGGTTACAATGAATAGAGCAACATTCTTTTCCCTTGTAGTAACTGTTAATTAAACCTCAGTTTTCAGGAGCAAAATATGGCTATCCGTTTCCCTTAGACTGTTTGAGGACAACACGTAATTTGCTGTTTTCCCCAAGTCACTGCAGGCATCGTCGCTGAAGCAATTGCAAAATGTTAGCATTAACAATTTGTCAATTAGCAGTAACGGTACAATTTGTGCCCTTTGTTATTGTCTGCTGCAATCAATGGAAAGGAGTTATAAATTAAAAGCATGAAAATAATACAGGGGGTTGATTTCCAGCTTCATCTGGCACGGCGTTGCGGCCCCCCCGGCGCACACGGAGCAGCGGTGCCGGGGAAGGCAGCGTTTCCCGCCGCGTTCGCCAGGCACCGTGATCCCTAGGCCTGGTGACATGCCGTCCTGGCCCCGCAGCG